ATTTACGAACCTTACACATGAAAAAAGAAAAACATCAAGAAGATGGCTTAGTCAGGCCCCCAGCGAGCGCCGACCGAAGGGAGGCGTGAGCATTGTCTTCGATTTAAAAATCACGAAAGCGCGTTCAGTAGCGCAGATCCAGGTTATTAAAGTCAAGGGACCGAGCGAGTGGAGACGAGCGTTACCTTGTTCTTATATATGCAAGAACAATCTCAAACAAAATGGTGATTGAAATTTACATTAAAACGATTAAGAGCCAATAATTTGATTAGAATATTCCTTTTTAAATTAACAGCAGCCATAGACTAAACTGAAATCTATTTTATTAAATAAAAAGATCTGACGTTTCGACTCTTCCTAGAGTCATTTTCAAAGAATATTACAGAACATTACTGTACTTTACGCATGAAATGTGGTGATTGAAAGAATAACATATTTATTTGTCTACCCTATCAACCAACAGAATTTTAGCAGAAGTCCTCTACACTGTAGCACTACAATAACTATAAATAAATGCAAAGTTGACATATTCACATTTTTGTCGAACCTCTGAGCCATGTCGTAATAAAAATAATTGATAACTTTTTTTGTTAGCAAAGATTTTGTTAATTACAGAAAAGTTTTCATATCTTGTCAAGATCTTGATCCAGATTTTTGCAGGCAGATTCCTCAAAAAAAACTTGACAAGATCTTGACAAGAATTGTTGAACATTCTTGGAGATCAAGAAATTTGACAGATCTTGTGCAGATATAAACTTCCCAGGTGATTGAATCGTACTATCTGATCGTACAAGATCGTATACGAATCGTACGAAATCATATACGATTATGTACGATCTACATACGAATCGTGGTACCTGATTTGTCGTCTGGCTCGTACTGTACGATTTCATACGAAGTTGTGTGATCGTATATGATCTTGTACGATCCTATTATACGATCCAGAGGACAAATCAGATACCACGATTCATATATGATTTTCATACGATTTGGTACGATTTTGTCTGTTCAGATACGATCATAGTACGATTCTTTGACCTGGGTTTCTGCAGGATATGGGCTGGATATTAGTGATTGCGGTGGTGTACAGCTTAAGAAATAAAAAATAAAAGTTTTACGAGATTGGCTTCAAGATATCATAGGATAAGTTTTTCTTATTAGACAGAATACTGATAAAAAAAGAAATAACACGTGTTTGCATGTGAAAAAACAACACGTGACATCAACCAAATCACGTTTCCTTCTTTCACACGTTATTCAGTGCAACATTAACATACATGTATTTTTCAGTTATATGACGATGACGACTCGTATACACAAAATACTGTATTAGTAAGGAAAAAGAAAGGAAGAAATTTGTGGTAACGTGTCATTCAGTCAATTGATGAATGTTTGTTTATATTCCTACAGAAGAAAAAAAAAACGACATTCTACCGTCATTTACTCTACGCACAGAAACTGCAAACAACCATGTTATTCATCGCAGCTGTTCTCATCTTATTGTCTCTTATCTCTCTTGTCTGTATTGATTACCAACGTTTCCGCTCTAGTCTACGTGAAAACCCTTCTTTATTGATGTGGCTTTATACTCGTCTGATTGATCTGCATAGATGGTCTACCGAAGAACATTGCTTGCGTACGGATGGTTTGATTTCAGCGAACGAAGAAAAAGGCTATTTGAATGTGAATGATATAGAGAATAGAAGTGGGCCGAGGCCAAAAATGCTTCGGGGCTTGCCACATCGACAATTAAATCAATATGCACCCGATGATCTTATGGATGAAATGCAGAAGCATATGGAAGACAAGACAATACCAAAGTTTAGGTAAGTGAAATGTCGACAAAAAATATGGAAAGCGAGCTTTTTGAAGAGTCGAATAGGGTAAGAAATATTGTAGTATTCAGTGCTAACAGACACATAGAAGGTATTTGTTCATTTATGACTAGATAGAAAACTGATAATGTCGGATCGAAAAACGATCTTTTTCGAAAGTTTCGGCCGGAGGTCGACTTTTGTACTCAAAAGTATGTTTTCGAATGATTTTCCTTACCAAAGATCGATATGTACTAGGAGTGCATCGGTTATTTTTTTGTATTTTTCAAAAATTCACAATAATTGTCTTGTATTTTCATAAAAACGATTTTCAACATTTTTCTAAAACGGCAGTTTTGTAGAGAAAACATTTCTCTACAAGATGATATATAATAGTTAATTTTAAAGTTTTCTGTTTCCTTTTAGAAAGCGTTT